AGATGTTTCTTGCAAAATACGTCTTTCTCCAACTAGGAAACATTATTGCAAGAGCGCTTTAAACCTTCTTTTCTGCTTGGCTCAGAGAAATAAAGGTAAAAGAGAGAAGCGGGGCTGGGAATTTGATCCTAGCAACATGATTAAGTTTAATAATGATAAAGGTGGATTAGGAAAAGCTCAAGGAACTGAACATTTATAAACTAACTTTTAAGGGTAAAGAAGGTATGTAGGCAACCCCAAAATGAAATGAAAATGGTTATAAATGTCCAAAAATGATCAATATCACTAGTAATCAAAGAAATGAAACTTTGCACCAGACTTTTTTGCCTGTCATATTGGCAAAGATTTGGGTGGTGGGATTAACATGAAATCTTAAGATACTTTGACGTTTTAAATTTTATCGTGATCATGTATTAACTTTATAGATTGAGAAGGTCTAAATGTAAGCTACCTAGGTCTTTAGTAAATGTACCTGATTTGGAGGTAGAACTGGTTTTGTGTAATGAAGGAAGTAGTGACGCTATAGGAAGAGGCGAAGTTTACTTCTCAGACGAGTTAGCAAAGCTAGATCAAGGGTGCGGCTTTCATTCTGATTGTTATGTATTTGCTGCATTCCTTAACAGTCTCATTGCTTGTCTTTCTTTTTTTTTTAAATTTATTTGTTGGCTGCGTTGGGTCTTTGTTGCTGTGCGTGGGCTTTCTCTAGTTGTGGCGAGCGGGGGCTACTTTCACTGTGGTGCGCGGGCTTCTCACTGTGGTGGCTTCTCTTGTTGCGGAGCACGGGCTCTAGGCACGCGGGCTTCAGTAGTTGTGCCTCGCAGGATCAGTAGTTGTGGCACATGAAATTAGTTGCTCCGCGGCATGTGGGATCTTACCTGACCTGGGCTCGGACCCGTGTCCCCTGCGTTGGCAGGCGGATTCTTCACCACTGTGCCACCAGGGAAGCCCCTGCTTCAGTTTCTCATCAGAGCTCCTGTTCTGTTTTTTAGACCAAAATCTTGACTCCTCTGTTTCTCACTTCTATCACAAAATGAGTCAGCTCACTTCTCTGCTTGGCATCCTCCAGAACAGGTACCTTAGAAAGCAGTGTCATCCCGTTGGTGGGAAACACATGTTAGAACATGATGTACAAGAGGGGGGAGAAGCTCAAGATTACTTCTATCTCATTTCGAGTAAAAGCCAAACCCCTTTTCTCCCCTCTCACCCCACGCCCCATGTCCTCTCTTAGCATTCTCTCCCTTGCTTACCACACTCACTTCTTGCTGTTCATTGAAGAGCCCAACAGGCTTCTTACTGTTGCTCAGCCTCAGATGCTCTTCCAGATATCTCACGGTTTATTTCCTCCTTCAGGCCTCTGAAAGGCTTCCCTTGCCCAGCCCATGTGGAGCAGCCACCCCTCCTCTTGCACTCTGTGCCCCTACCCTGGCTTACTTCTTCATAGCACTTATTATTTATTGTCTGTTTCACTCCACTACTGTTAGGGTTTTGTTTCATTCCTTTCTGAATGTCCACCCACCAGTCAGACACTCAGTACGTTGTTGAATGACCAGCTGAATTTCCGAATTTTCTCTAGTGGCTTCTCAAGCTCTTTGCCTAGAGAGAGAGGCAGGCCACCCTTGTTCTTCAGCCATGGGAAAGTAAGGCTGCCTTCCATGTACCAGATGTTTCTAAGAGGTGCTCTGGGGACTTCCCCTTTCTCACTGCTCAGATTTTTACATTCTATTACTCTGGTAATATTACTGGTCAAGTGAATCTGTTTTCTAAGTAACTTTTCCATGTTTGGGGCCAATGCTTTCCTTTTTCCTGCATTTGGTATCATTTAATGTAAATACTTCAATGACATTTTGGCATTTATTCCTTCATTCAGTTAGCAAATAGTTATTGCAGCAGATATTATGAGCCAGGCTGGGTACCAGATGGGATGCCAGGGCTTAAAGAGATGGAGGTCCTGCCTTTCCCTTGAGTAGCTTGGACTTCAGTGTTTGGTTGTAGGTGCCATTGGGACAGGCAGCTGATGTAAGAGAAATGCAGAGAGGGAGGTCGAGAAACACAGGGTGGCTCACCTAGGCCTGCCTCAGAGGGTTGGGAATCTCCACAGTGGACAGGAGTTTGAAAGGTGAGGAAACAGGTAAAGGCTGCTCCAACAGGAGAGAATAATTTGGGCAAAGGCGTAGAGAGCTGTACTTGTTTAGAGAAGCAAAAAAAATCAATGAGTATTATTGGAGCATACACTGTAATGCAGGCTGTGGTGGTGGACGAGGCCATGATAGTTCTTGCAAGGGCCTGATCTGGACGCTTCTAGAGGGTTATGTGTATCCTGTGTAGAGGTGAGACTTTTATCCTGCAGCCCATGGATTTAGGCATGTGCACCTGAAGGGAAGTGGCTGGTGAGGTGCAACTTTTTTTAAAAAATAAATTTATTTATTATTTATTTTTTGGCTGTGTTGGGTCTTTATTTCTGTGTGAGGGCTTTCTCTAGTTGCGGCGAGCGGGGGCCACTCTTCATCGCGGTGCGCGGGCCTCTCACTGTCACGGCCTCTCTTGTTGCGGAGCACGGGCTCCAGACGCGCAGGCTGAGTAGTTGTGACACATGGGCTTAGTTGCTCTGCAGCATGTGGGATCTTCCCAGACCAGGGCTCGAACCCGTGTCCCCTGCATTGGCAGGCAGACTCTCAACCACTGCGCCACCAGGTAAGCCCTAGGTACAACGTTTTTAATTTGCATGCCCCCTTTCTGAGGCAGGGAGAATACAGAATATTTTCTGTTGTGTATTAATATATCTCCACACAGAGTATTTTCAAATTTATAAATTCCTGAAGGGTGGCAGGGTTTAATTTTGATGTACCTCATTTTCCTTGCATGCACTTGGTTTTTTTGTTTTTTGTTTTTGGCCACACTGCATGGCTTGTGAGATCTTAGTTCCCCAACCAGGGATCAAACTTGGGGCCCCAGAGTGAAAGCACCTAATCTTAACCACTCAACCACCAGTGAATTCCCTCCCCACATGCACTTTGTGAGATGGACACTCATTTAAACCTTCAGTAAATGATGATCACATCATCTGTAGTCCTGATCTGTTTTAACTTCTTATTATCCCCTTGCATGTTTTCCCCTTTGTCTACCCCATCCCTTCCCAACTTCTCTTTTTTTTTTTTTTTTCTGGCCATAAATTACGCCTGCACAGGCAGCAGGATTGTCCAGAGGGAGGCAGGACAGACGCAGTGATGGTGACAGAGGGGCAAAAGTGAAGCGAGAGCCCAGGGGTGTGGCTTGTCCAGAGCAGGAAGTTGGGGAGGAAAGATGGGGATGAGCACAAGTGCCCGTCACCACCTCCAACATCACTGGGAGTTTATGAAATGCTTTTTTTTTTCCCCGATATGTGGGCCTCTCACTGTCGTGGCCTTTCCCGTTGCCGGACGCGCAAGCTCAGCGGCCATGGCTCACGGGCCCAGCCGCTCCGCGGCATGTGGGATCCTCCCGGACCGGGGCACGAACTCGTATCCCCTGCATCGGCAGGCGGACTCTCAACCACTGCGCCACCAGGGAGGCCCCCAACTTCTCTTTTTGTCAAGCAGATTAAATTTATTATAAAAAGATGAGAAAAGGAAAGCTTTGTTCTGAGAGAATTTGCTGAGTTGTTGGATGCCAGGCAGTGTTGCTGCATCTGGAAGTGGGGTGGGGCCGGACTCCTTCCTGAGGCATGCATGCCTGCCCATGCTCCTTATCACCTTGGCATTCCCTATGCCTGGCACACGGTAGGTGTTCAGTAGATGTTTGTGGAAGGAATCATGCTGTTCATAGACAGCAGGATTAAGTTTGTGTTTTCGCAACACTACTACTGCCTACTTTTCTACTTTGATCTGTATAATCTTTTCTTTCTAAGCTCCAGACAAACTAACCTCCGCTCTCCATCCCTGCAAACTTCCAAATATTTTCACCACGTAAAGTGTTCTTTCTCTCATCTGGCAAACTTCTGCATCTTCTCATAAGGCTTAACTCTACCTCTTTCTGGGGAAGTCATTTCTGAGTAACTTAGGTGGAGTCAGGAACTCCTTCCTGTGTATAGTTTTGTATTGAAGTTTGTTCGGCCTCTAAACAGTGAGCTTGGAAGGCAACCTTACCCCTTTCTGTGTCTCCAGTACTTTAGCCTGGTGTCCGGTGGTTTTACGGACAGGATAGTTTGTAAGTTGTTACAGGAAAGCATGTCATGACGAGTAGAAGTGCACCTGAGTAAGCCCTGTGCTGGGGATGTGGAATATTGTCCATTAACCTCTCAGCCGGCACCAGGCCTTTACATAGGTGCATGGATGAGAGTCTGTTTCAGAGCTGGTGCATAGGAACAACACCTTCTGTAAACTTGCAAGGTTAGAAAATTTATTCTTTTTAAAATTAATTAATTAATTAATTAATTTTTGGCTGCACTGGGTCTTCGTTACTGCTGTGCGCTGGCTTTCTCTAGTTGCGGCGAGCGGGGGCTGCTCTTCGTTGCGGTGAACGGGCTTCTCATTGCGGTAGCTTCTCTTGCTGCGGAGCATGGGCTCGAGGCGTGCGGGCTTCAGTAGTTGTGGCATGCGGGCTCAGTAGTTGTGGCTCACGGGCTGAGTTGCTCCGCGGCATGTGGGATCTTCCCGGACCAGGGATCAAAGCCCTGTCCCCTGCGCTGGCAGGCGGATTCTTAACCACTGCGCCACCAGGGACGTCCCTAGAAAATTCATTCTTTCTAGGAAGGACTCTGAGGAGGAGAGCAACATAATTAGGTCAGTGATTTAATGCCAGGAATAGAAGCTTGGGAGGAGGAGTAGCTAGAGGCAGTTTTTCTTTTCGGGAGTCTGGGGAGAGATGAGGGCGTCTCCCTAACAGGGTGGTAGAAGGCAATGGTTAAGTAACTAGAAGAGTTTTTGCTGCAGGAGCTTACCTGCTATTTGGGAGAAACGACCACTGACCTCACCACCCAATAACTCAGCACTGATGCCCGCATCATCTTCTCTGCAGAGACTGCCCCAGCCATCATGGAGGTGGCCAAGGTGGAGAGTCCGCTCAACCCCAGCTGTAAGATCATGACCTTCAGACCCTGCATGGAGGAATTCCGGGAGTTCAACAAATACCTCGCATACATGGAGTCTAAAGGAGCCCATCGAGCGGGTCTTGCAAAGGTGATTATCCTCAGATCTTTTAAGCCAGAAAATGATCACTTGGCCTTTCAGTTATGCTTCGTCTTCTTGATGTGGAAACTTGTTTCTTCCAAAGGAAGACACTTGCAAAATCTTTGTTCTTGTTAATCCATTAATGCAGTTAATGCAATGGGAAGCGTTGATAGGCTTAAAGTAGAGGAGAGGAGGATATGGTGGCTGCTTCTTTGTTTACTTGTTATTTTTGTGACATTATTTTGATAGGATCACACTGGCTTCTACATCAAGAATGAATCTGAGGGGGAGGCAGAGCAGAAGCAGGGAGTCTTGTCAGGGGTAGTTGTGATGTGCTCTGGGACATAAGGGTGGTCCCTAAGGCGCTGAGGACTGCATTGCAGGGTTGCCCCCATAAGCCCAGAGTTAGAGCTTTGAAAGAGAGATTGTCTAGATTTGCATTTAACCTGAGATAGGTGTGTCTTTCTATAATGGAAATCTAGTTCAATTTAAAATTTTCCTCAAGAATAGATTTTATTGTTACTTGCTTTGTTTTGTTATTGTTCTAAGTGTTAAGTTTATAATCTGGGTTTCTGTAGACTTGTTGGCATCACCACATAAATTCCTGAGCCCCAGCAGAGCCTTCTCTACTGTGGCTCGTCATGGGTTCTCCTTGGAACCTCATCTCCGTGGAAGGTCCAGTAGCATTGAAAGCAGACAGTAGCCTCAGAGAGAACTTGCAGAACTGCAGGGGTTGGTGTTCAAGTCCTCCTCCTGCATCTGGACGCAGCTGCTTGTAACCTTGGACTATTCTGACATCTCTGCCTTGAAGTCTGTTATTTGATATGTATGGTTCAAGTCACTCCTAGAATAGGTTTAAAATTTGGGGATATTAAGTTGAGTGAAAGTTGATTAGGGGCGGGTGAGAGAAAAGGAAGATAAAGGTTTATAGTGAATTTCTCAGATGAGCTATCCTTACTTAATCGTTTCATTAGGTTCGCTCTTAAAGATCTCATTTTTGGAAACTTAACATTTCCGGGTTGTCTTTGAGGGGGAAAAAAATCATGCTTAAGTTGAAGAGAATGATATTTCAGAATCATTTGACACACAGAATTTTGATCATAAACTTAAAATGAACCGGTTAGCAAGGTTTTGAGCTTTATTTGGGCAGAGGGGTGTTAGGGTGACTGTCTGTCCTCTTCTCTGGGCTCTGAATGCAGCCCTTTGTCCTGTTGTTCTCCCTCTTTTGTTGCCTGAAAACATATATCTTACTGTGTCCCACTGGGATTAGTGAATGTTCTGTGGTCGGGGGCACGTTTAGTAACCTTAGAAGAGGAAGCAGGCACTACCCTCACAGGGGAGCTGCAGGCACACAGAGGACACCTGTGCTGCCTTGGGTGTTCTCTGACAGAATGACGTTAATGAGAACGACAGTTAGTTTTCTGAATGTTGAACCAGACACACCTGAGTCCAGACTTTTTTTTTAAGTGAGACTCATTGACAAAGCTGGAGTTACTCATTTATTCAATCTTGTGGTAATTTCCTTTTACTTATACTAGGAATACAATAAACTGTTTTATTCCCAGTCATTTTTGCCATCTTTTACATCAAGTCACATGGACTCAGTTTCACCTGATTTCCTTCTTTTTCTGGAAGTTACAGCAATAGCAAATGTATAAAACTACACCAAATCAAATCAAATTGTAAAGATCAAAACTGCATTAATGTTGCTAGTTTACTTTGAGGGCTAGCCCTGGGGAACAGAACCACCTATGAAATTTTTTGTTGATGCACCATTTAATGAATTGGTCTTAATTTATGATTTGAAGAAAGTGGTTGAGAAATTCCAACCGTAGTGACTTTGGCCTCAGATTACAGTCTGTCTTGCTTGATAACATTTTTTAAAAAAATCAATCAATTAATTAATTAATTTTTGGCTGCGTTGGGTCTTCGTTGCTGTGCGCGGGCTTTCTCTGGTTGCCGCGAGCGGGGGCTGCTTTTCACTGTGGTGCGCAGGCGTCTCACTGCGGTGGCTTCTCTTGTTGCAGGGCATGAGCTCTAGGCACGCGGGCTCAGTAGTTGTGGCTCGCGGGCTGTAGAGCGCAGGCTCAGTAGCTGTGGCGCACGGGCTTAGTTGCTCCGCGGCATGTGGGAGCTTCCTGGACTCTAGGGATCGAACCCGTGTCCCCTGCATTGGCAGGCGGATTATTAACCACTGCGCCACCAGGGTAGTCTGGTTGATGACATTTTTTAGATTGGTACTTTAGATTTAACTTTTTTTTTCCAGAGTGAGAGGTTTGACACACTGACTTTTTGTCTACAAAGTTGGTGGTCCAGGTGCGAAAGTGAAAAGTGACAGTGTCCTTAAATGTAAAACTTGTACTGTTTTTGTGGAGAAAGGTTATGATGAAACATTATTATACGAGCAATGGCTAAATTCTTCGGCAGCAGTGTTCTGGACGTAGCCTGTTCTGGGCCTGAGGTTATGCATAATACAGAGCTTCACAAGTAGCCTAGTGGGTGCAGATAGCTATCTATCTGCCCAAGGGAGAAGAAAGAGTGTGAGAAGCACTGCCCTTCCTCCTCCAGCTCCTTTCTCAGTTGGTAGATGGTAGTAATAGCAACATAGTTCAGGATAAGTAGTGCAAATACAGACTGTAGCTGGACAATTTTTACTGGTATAGGGCCCAGGCTGGGGTCGGGGAAATGGTAATATGCAATATATATAAATATATATATTTATATATATACATGTATAAATATATATATATAAAGTCCTAAGTATGTTGTGCTTACAATTCCTATGTAAGAAAATCTGATGTGTTAAGATTTAAAATTATAGTTAAAAATCAGATTTTTGTTATATGCCTGAACTTACAGATTTTTAAAGTTCTGTCTGAACATTTTAATTGAAGTAAATGAACACATGCACAAAATATTCACAAAGGTAATATTTAGAGTTTTGTAAATGTATTCCTTCTTTAACTTGAGAGAAGAAAATTTGGTTCAGAATTTTTTGGGGGTGAAAAACTGCCTTGTTTTTCACAACACAGGAAAATATTTAACTCTAAATATAATATTGATTTTGATTGTAGATATATTTCTAAACAGGAGCCTGAATAAATCTATGTTTTATATTTTGGAATACTCACATTTATTTCTGATGAAGAAAAAGTTAGTATTTATAACACTCTTAAATACTGCCCTCTCCCCTTTCAATATGTGATCAAGACAATGCAGTATGTTTATCCATATCCATTTGGTGCGATTGTCCATATGCTTTTAAAATACTGAGTATGTGTCTCATTTTAAGCTAACATACCTTGGAGAAAATAAAATGTATAATATTGCCATATTGATGATGAAAATTAAATTAATTTTAGACTTGACTGCTCCCCCCACCTGTTTTTTGAATTAATAGAGTCGTTTATCAGGTGTATAACATTGGCCAAGTCACTCCTTCCCCGACTCCAGGTTTTCTTATCTGATGAAGCTTGACTTAAACCTTTCACAAAAGCTAGTTGCAGATGCAGCGTAGATAAAATGTGAAAGACAAAACCTTAAAACTCTTAGAAAACAAAATAGAATGTATTCATGCCCTAGAGTAGGAAAATATATATTTTTTAAACAGAAGATCAAGGCAAAAAATGAAGAAATTGGATTATATTAAAGTTAAGAGCTTATGTTTATCAAAATATACAGTTTAGAAGGTTGAAGGGAAAGTTACAGGGTAAGAGAAGATATTTGATATATGTACACACACATACATATAGATATTGGCAAACACACACACACACACACACACACACACACACACACACATTCTTCTAAGAATAACCAGACTATATACAGAATCTCTATACATTAATAAGAAAAAGACTGACAGTGCCATAGTAAAATGAGCAAGAGGATTGAATAAGCACTTTATGAAAGAGGATATCTGTAGGGTCAGTGAATATATGAAGAGATTTCTTTAGTTATCAGAAAATGCAAATAAAATCCACACTTGAGTACCATTACACACCTTCCAGAAAGACTAAAATTTAAATGATCAACAATGCAAAGTGATGATGAAGATGCGGAGCGACAGGAACTTTCACACATTACTGGCGGGAGTATGAAATCGTACAACCACTTTGGCAAAAGTTTGGTAATAACGATTAAGTTTGATCTGTACATATCCTATGTCCCAGTAGTTTCACTGTTAGGAGGGTCTGTGCGTGTGTGTATTTTAGAGAACCGTGTGCCCACATGCAGCAGAAGATGCATACAGAAATATTAATAGTGTTGTTTGCAGTTGCCAATAATTAGAAAAAAAACAAGTGACCACCAAGTAGTCACCCTTACAAATAAATATTTATACAAAGGCGTACTAAGTAGGAATGAAAGTCAATGAACTTCAGTTACCTAGGTCATCATATTTGAATCTCACAAAAAAATTGAGTAAAATATAAAAGATAAAGAATGTATGTATAGGAGGCTTCCCTGGTGGCGTAGTGGTTGAGAGTCCGCCTGCTGATGCAGGGGACACGGGTTCGTGTCCCGGTCCGGGAAGATCCCACATGCTGTGGAGTGGCTGGGCCCGTGAGCCATGGCTGCTGAGCCTGCGTGTCTGGAGCCTGTGCTCCGCAGTGGGAGAGGCCACAGCAGTGAGAGGCCTGCGTACCGCAAAAAAAAAAAAAAAAGAATGTATGTATATATGGATGCTTATGTTTCTGTACATTTAAAAAACTGTTGTTAGGGTTTACACACAGACATGAAACTATAAAGCCCAGCAAGGAGTTTAATAGCGTAAGTGCCATGATGGTGACCATCTTTTGAGTAAGAGGGGAATGTATTTGGAAAAGGGTACCAGGACCTCTGGGGTGCCAGAAGTATCTTACTTCTCACACCTGAGCAGTGGGTACTATGGTGTTTGCTTTATAATAACTCACAAAGCTACGTATTTGTGATTATGCATTTTTTGTATGTGTGCTATCTATATTTTGCAGTTGAATTTCTGAAAGAAGTTTGTCTTTAAAAATTAGGATAACTTCTAAAGGTGGATAAATTCCAGCTATAAACCATGACTCAATTCATAACTTTGTTCCTTCTAATTTTTGATCATATGATTATGTATTTTTGGTTTTACTGTTGATGATCTTTTCATTGTTAGTAATTAAGTGTTGAAATACTATGGGAAAGCAGTGGTGTGCTGGGCTACTTCATACAGGCACATGGGAATTGAGAGTGCACATCTTTTCCAACCCCACATTCAGTGACATCACATTGGTAAGCTCAAATCGGCCGTGGTGGGAGTAGTTACAACCACGGAAATAGACAAGAACCACAATCAGGATTCCCCCACCTCCCCGGAAAGTTGTTGGTTAAACATTTACTTGCACACCACTCTGATTTGCCATATTGTGTGAGAGGTGTTTAAAGAAAAGATATCAACTAAACCAATACTTATTTTTCTCATGGTACTATAAGTAGCACTTGAACTCTAGCAAGTTATTTTACTTTTGTGTGTCTCTCAATTTTACCTTTAAAATAGAGAGGTTAACAGTAGCCACTAAAAAATAAGTTAATACAAGTACAGTATTTTGCATAGTAAGTACTCAGTAAATTTTGCTGTTTTAAAAAAGTCATGTCAGTAAGGTGAATATTTGGGAGAATGCAAGCATTTCCTTTAATGTGAATCTTCACAGTTCTTTTACACATTTGTCATATAAATGCTGAGAAATTCTTCACTTGTATTCTGTTGGAATAGGAAAGCTAAATAACTACCTGGAATGTTTTCCAAATAATATTTTATTATTTTACTTTTAGGTTATTCCTCCTAAGGAGTGGAAGCCAAGGCAGTGCTATGATGACATTGACAATTTGCTTATTCCAGCGCCAATTCAGCAGATGGTCACAGGGCAGTCAGGACTGTTCACTCAATACAACATCCAGAAAAAAGCCATGACAGTGAAGGAGTTCAGGCAGCTGGCCAACAGTGGCAAGTGAGTAGATTCAGTTTACTATTTTTATTTCTTTCGAAGATATAGGTGAACAGGGTAAGTAACCAAGTAGGTGGGAGCTTGTGGTGAAAAGCAGGAGTCTTCTGCACAATCTCTTTCAGTCCTCATTTAACTGTTACTGTTTTCTGTTTTTCAGGTGGTTGCCTGCCTACTTACTTTAGTTTACTGCTAGGGAAATTGTTCCTCGTTTTATCATCTCATTCATAATATTTGTAAATGGTTTTTTTCCTATCTTTTAGTTGCCATGAGTTTTTGATTCTACACTTGATTCATCTTTGTTAGGCAAATTTTCTTGTGTGTGTGACAATGTTTAAGTCTTTTTTTTTTTTTAAAGCATTCCTCTTTTTTAAAAAAATTAATTAATTATTTTTGGCTGCGTTGGGTCTTTGTTGCTGCGCGTGGGCTTTCCCTAGTTGGCATTGAGCGGAGGGCTACTCTTCGTTGTGGTGTGCGGGCTTCTCATTGCAGTGGCTTCTCTTGTTGCAGAGCATGGGCTCCAACAACTTTCCGGGGAGGTGGGGGAACCCTGATTTTTGGTTTTTGCCTATTTCCACGGGGTAACTGCTCCCGCACAGGCGCGTGGGCTTCAGTAGTTGTGGCACGTGGGCTCAGTAGTTGTGGCTCGCAGGCTCAGTAGCTGTGGCATGTGGGCTCAGTAGTTGTGGCTCGCGGGCTCAGTAGTTGTGGCTCGCAGGCTCTAGAGTGCAGGCTCAGTGGTTGTGGCACATGGGTTTAGTTGCTCTGCGGCATGTGGGATCTTCCTGGGCTCAAACCCGTGTCCTCTGCATTGGCAGGCGGATTCTTAACCACTGCGTCACCAGGGAAGTCCCGACAATGTTTAAGTCTTAAGTGATAAGTTATATATATTAGAAGATGAGTAATTTAAAAAGAAAATCCTTGAATGACTTGAAGGGCCACCATTATTGTGTTAGTCACCTGCTGCTATCTAACGAATCACCCCAAACCTTAGTATCTTAAATCAATAAACATTTAACATCTCAGTTTCTTAAGGTCAGGAATCTGGGAGTGACTCAGCCAGGTGGCTGTGGCTCAGGGCCTTTCCTGAGGCTGCATTCAAGTTGGCTGGGGCTGCTGTCACCTGAAGGCTTGACTGTGACTAGAAGATTTTCTCCCAAGATTGCTCCCCTTGCGTGGCAGTTGGCTGGAGTCCTGAGTCCTTTGCCACATGAACTGCTTCTCATGTTGTGGCAGCTGGCTTCTTCCAAAGCAAGTGATCCAGGAGTTACCAAGATGAAGACACAGTGTCTTTTCATGACCTGGTTTTTGACTGTCGTTTCTGCCATATTCTATTTGTTATAAGCCAAATGCAGCCCCTACTTAAGGGGAGGAGAATTAAGCTGTAAGTCTTGAAGGGAGGTGTATCAGATAATTTGTGGATATATTTTAGAAACTATCACAGTTATGATTATTATTAAAGTTCCCCCCCCCCCCGTTTTTTTTTTTTTAAGTTTCTGATATGGTGGTTAAGGCCTTAGATCAAAATATTAATCTGGAAAAAAAATACCCCCCCAAAGCCAACCAACCAATCATCCAACCAAAAAACATCAGTGTCTAAATTCTCTGGATGGGTATTCATGAGATTAAGTCCTTTGGATAAATTTAGTTGATATCTTTAAAAAAAAATTTATATTTGACATAGTAAGCACTTGATGGTACTTGAAGAATCGTTTTCTGTGTGAAGTTCCTATTATGGAGCATTCTGGCTAATCCAAAGCAATTAGACATTTTATAATTAATTCAAGTCCCTCTTGAATTTTTTTTTAACATCTTTATTGGAGTATAATTGCTTTACAGTGTTGTGTTAGTTTCTGCTTTATAACAATTGAATTTTTTTTCATAGGCATTAGTAAAGCCTCATTGTTTCAGATTTCATTGATTGAGAATGTGAAACTTTTATCATGGACTAGACTTGTTTGCTTTTATACTCTTTAAGAACTCTTTAATAAGTTCAATGCTAAAACAAGATTGCAGAAGCAATTTTATGCAACTTTTTTTTCCTAACCCAGTGTTAGAAAGATATTTTCTTTTCTTTTTTTTCTTTTAACTTAATTCATTAATTTTTGGCTGCGTTGGGTCTTCGTTGCTGCACATGGGCTTTCTCTAGTTTTGGCGAGAGGGGGCTACTCTTTGTTGTGGTGTGGGCTTCTCATTGCGGTGGCTTCTTTTTTGTGGAGCATGGGCTCTAGGTGTGCGGGCTTCAGTAGTTGTGGCATGTGGGCTCAGTAGTTGTGACTCGTGGGTTCTAGAGAGTAGGCTCAGTAGTTGTGGCACATGGGCTTAGTTGTCCATGGCATGTGGGATCTTCCTGGACCAGGACTCGAACCCGTGTCCCCGGCATTGGCAGGTGGATTCTTAACCACTGCGCCACTACGGAAGTCCCTAACCAACTTTTTTTTTTTTTTTTTTTGCATTATGCGGGCCTCTCACTGTTGTGGCCTCTCCCGTTGCGGAGCACAGGCTCCGGACGCACAGGCTCAGCGGCCATGGCTCACAGGCCCAGCCGCTCCGCGGCATGTGGGATCTTCCTGGACCGGGGCACGAACCCGTGTCCCCTGCATCGGCAGGCGGACTCTCAACCACTGCACCACCAGGGAAGCCCCTATCCAACTTTTTATAAGTACAAACTGTTTACCATATTCTGTTCTCCATTTTCTAGTGCCTATTTCCAGAGTTATTCTTCAAGTATTAAATAGCTTACAAAACCCCCTCCAGGGGCCCTCCGGGAGAAGCTGGAGAGGATTGAAGGGCGATTGCCCACCCACTCAGCCATGGGGAGCCTGCTGAGCTCCCAGGCTGGTCCCCTGCTCTCCAAGGTGCACCCCCCACCCTACCGGCTGCATTGGCCCTGGGGGCGCATAGGAGGGAGGCCGGGGAGATCAGGAGAGGCAGGTGGGAAGGACCCTCCCAGATCCCAGACCAGATGTGCAGGAGAGGAGAGGAGGGCATTTGTCCCACCCACTCGAGCCCAGGAAGCCTGCTGGGCTCCCAGGTGAGGTCCCCTGCCCTCTGAGAACAGGGGTGGGGGGCACGCCTGGGCCCCTTCTGTTCCTTGAGCCTAAGCCCCACTGCCCACAGCCCCCAGGGCCTTTTCCAGGCCTGTGGGTCCTGAGCATTAGCCCCACCCACTGCCCAGATCTCACCCTTGCTTAGGCCCCGCTCTCCACAGCCAAGGCCTTCCCCACCTTTTTCTTTTTTACTGTCCCCTTGTTTTTCCTTTCCTTCCTCCTCTTTTTTTACTGTTGTGGTACTGATGTACCTTCTCGTTATTGACTCATCTATATTTTTATTTTTACATTCTTTCTAACATATCAGTTAGTTTCCTAGTCTAATTTTATTTTTTACTTTGTTATTTTTCTCTCTCTCTTTTTTTTTTTTGCCAGCCCATGCGGCTTGCAGGATCTTAATTTGCAAACCTGGGGTCGGGGGGAAGCTCCTGCGGTAGGAGCTCTGAGTCCGAACCACTGGACTAACAGAGAACCTCAGACAGCAGGGCATATTCATCGAAGTGAGGTCTCACAGAGTTCCTCATCTCAGCAACCAAGACCCAGCTCTACCCAATAACCTACAAACTCCAGCATTGGAAGGCTCAGGCCAAACAACCAGTAAAACAGGAACACAATCCCACTCATTAAAAAAAAAAAAAATGAGATGGCAAAAAACTATGTCACAGATGAAGGAGCAAGGTAAAAACCTACAAGACCCAATAAATGAAGAGGAAATAGGCAATCTACCTGAAAAAGAATTCAGAGTAATTATAGTAAAGATGATCCAGAATCTCAGAAATAGAATGGAAGCATGGATTGAGAAAATACAAGAAATGTTTAACAAAGATCTGGAAGAACTAAAGAACAAACAAACAGGTGAACAACACAGTGACTGAAATGAAAAATACACTAGAAGGAATCAGTAGCAGAGTAACGGAAGCAGAAGAACGAATAAGTGAGCTGGAAGACAAAATGGTGGAAATAACTGCTGAGGAGCAGAATAAAGGAAAAAGAATGAAAAGAATTGAAGACAATCTCAGAGACCTCTGGGACAACACTAAATGCACCAGCATTCGGATTATTGGGGTCCCAGAAGAAGAAGAGAAAAAGAAAGGGTCTGAGAAAATATTTAAAGAGATTATAGTCAAAGACTTCCCTAACATGGGAAAAGGAATAGTCACCCAAGTCCAGGAAGCACAGAGAGGCCCATACAGGATAAACCCTAGGAAAAACACACCAAGACACATATTAGTCAAACAAAAATTAAATTCAAAGAAAAAATATTAAAAGCAACAGGGAAAAACAAAAAATAACATACAAAGGAATCCTCATAAGGTTATCAGCTGATTTTTCAGTGGAAACTCTGCAGGCCAAAAGGGAGTGGCAGGATATATTTAAAGTGATGATAGAGAAAACCCGACAACCGAGATTACTCTACCCAGCAAGGATCTCATTCAGATTCAATGGAGAAATCAAAAGCTTTTTTTTTTTTAAAGATAATTATTTTATTTTTTTAAAAATTTGTTTATTTATTTTTGGCTGCCTTCCTTCTTCATTGCAGTGGCTTCTCTTGTTACGGAGCACGGACTCCAGTAATTGTGGCACGTGGGCTCCGTAGTTGTGGCTCGCAGGCTCTAAAGCACAGGCTCTGTAGTTGTGGCACACTGGCTTAGTTGCTTTGTGGCATGTGGGATCTTCCTAGACCAGGCATCTAACCTGTGTCCCCTGCATTGGCAGGCAGATTCTTAACCACCGTGCCACCAGGGAGGTCCCTCAAAAGCTTTTCAGACAAACAAAAGCTAAGAGAATTCAGCACCACCAAACCAGCTTTACAACAAATTCTAAAGAAACTACTCTAAGCAGGAAACACAAGAGAATAAAAAGACCCGCAAAAACAAACCCAAAACAATTAAGAAAATGGTAACAGGAACATACATATCGATAATAACCTTGAATGTAAATGGATTAAATGCCCCA